ATTGAGCCAATAGGAACATGACAGTCATATTGGACTTCTCCATCTTGATCATGTACCCAGTTGGCTTAGTTTAGAGTATAATTTCTTTGTATTCTCCATACATTTTTTCTTGGACTTGTCTATTATTAAAAGGTCGTTCAAATATGCCAATGCTCTGATTCTTTGAGATCGAGCCCAATTTAGTACTGGATGTAATACCTTTGTAAAGGTGTGCGGATTCAGTGAGAGCCCAAACGAAAACACAAAATTGGAAAGTCTTCCCGTTTGTTATGCACTGATTGTGGCAAACAAACATTACACACGTTTGTTTACAACAGTTCCTAGGATTTGTTTACAACCGTTACTAATATCTGTTTATGCAGATCACAGGCGCGACAAACAAACATAAACTTTATTGATGCAGTACTTATAAGCCTAAAGGAATATTTAAACTACTAAATAATGTTTAAATAGCAATTCTAGGCTGCAATAAACTACAACCAAAAAAGTTTAAATACCCAAGCCTTCTGCTATCAAAATATTACTCAAGTGTATTATTACTTATTATAACATCTCTTAGTTTTAGTCTTTTTATTTTAGCTCTTGCTCTTAGAAATATAAGTAATAACACACATCTTGTCTTGCCTTTATTAGTACCTCAGTTTCTAACACCGTTCCATTGAAAACAAAGATATTTCTTGCACTTCTGGTGTATCAGAATGTGCATAAAAGCGTCCTCTAGATCCAGAGAGGTCATATAATCTTTTCTCCTGATCATCCTGCATATGGATGTCAGGGATTCCATTTTGAAATTTCTCTCCTCGACAAAGTTGTTGAGTTTTTGGAGCTCTAGAACTGGACGTAGGTTGCCTGTTTTCTTTGGTATTGTAAAGAGTTGACTGTAAAAGCCTGATGTCGAACTCTTTACTTGCTCGATTGCATTATTTGCTAGGAGAGCCGCGACCTCCTTGGTTATTGCATCGCTGGCTTCCTTGCTCATTTTCCTTTTGTATCGATGTGTATGAAGAGTGAGTGGTGGGCCATAACCTATCACCCCTATCTTATCCTCGTAAAAAATATTTAATTTCTCCGGAATAAGTTGCTTCGCACTTATTCCTCTGGAACTTATAAAGTTTTTCCTTGTCGAAGCCTTTGGCTTCTCTGGATTCAGATTTCTGAACGGAATCTTGAGTCCCTTCTCGACTATGTTTCTGACTCACTTGTTGTCTGTGAGTCTGGCCCAGGCGGCTCAAAGCGTAGCGAGTCATCCTCCTAAGGGGGAGGGCGTTTGTGGCTCTACTGAGAGCCCTTGTTTTTTCCCTTTGCCTAAAAATTTCTGCTCTTATACAATTGTGTTGTCTGATCGTTGTTGGCAGTATTTTAGGTGGCGTTATGAGGGGTTTGCGCCGTTGCAGATGTCGTGCCAAACGCAGTCTGCTGGCGCAGACGAAAGGGACTTATCTTGTTTCTTCTACTTCTTGCTGTTGGCTTATTAGCTGCAAGGAGAGCTTCCAACTGTTCATTTTCTACTAATGGCTTAACAGTTGATTCTACTAATTGTGGTACTCTTCCTGAAAGCTCCATCAATTTTTGTAAATTGCTGATTCTGTTTTGCGTGATGCTTGAAGCTACATCGGATAGCAGCTATTTAATTGTGTGTGAAAGTTCCAGGTCTTCGTTACCCTGTATCATTGTGGTTGAGTCCTTAAGTTTCCTGTACACATAGCCATCAATCGATTTTGTCAGGATTGCAAGTGCCATTTAAATTTCGTAAAGCGCTGCGTCGTTTTTTCGAACGGCCGAAGTAGCTGCTTCGTTAAGTGGGGGAGGAGGAGTGTATTTCATTCCTAATAATTTAGGACACTCGTAGATAATTTCGTTTCTTTCTTCCTCAGGTATTGCGCTCCTGAAGAAGTCAGTTTCTTACGATGGTATTGCTTCAATCAATCTCGGGTAGCTTTCTATCTCTACCATCGGGGCTCTGACCTTCTCGTGTGGATCGTCACACTCAATATTTTGAGCTTCCATGTCCTGGGCTTGCTGTGCGCTCTGTTGTTCTCTTTCAATATTGAGAAATTTAACCTTTTCTGTTAGGTCGTTGAGGGCTTCAAAAAAATTTTCTTGCATTTCTTGTTGAATTTTAAAGTCGAGTTTTCTTATTAAAGTATATCAATGCGGCAGTGTACCTTTGCGAAAGAAAAGATGATAACTATACAATATAATTGTAGCTAAGGTTTATATAGCTTTTTTTTTCAGAAATAGTTTACTAATTCTTCTTTTTTACTATAGGATTTGTCTTAGAATTTTTGTAATTTACATAATAAAGATAATAGCACTTAATATTTACTTTCTCTTTTAATAATAATAATTAATCTTTGCTCTTCGAGCTCGATTAATTCTACATTTTTTCAAGAATTATGAATATATTTTTAAAAAAAAAAACCCCCCCAAAATATGTATGTAACTATTATTATATATTATCCATATCATAAGATATTAAAGTTGTATAATAGACAACCTAAATAATTAAAATTTATGACAAGTACAGAACGCCTCAATCATATCTAAAGACAATATAGTAATTTTCATAATAAAAAAAGTATTTTTGCCGAGTTTTATTTTAATAAAAAAAAATTCCAGTTAGAATCTTTAATAAGTTATAACCAAATGTCTGAAATCTTTATAAAAAAAACTTTAAAATGTTAGAAAAAAATCGATTGTTAATATGAAAACTCAATTTAAAAAAAACGGATCAAATGTAGTTTAGTAGCTTTTTGTAATTTTCTTATGTAATTATATCCGCATATCAGATTAAATAAACTAAAATTATAGTAAAAAAATGAATTTTAAGTTAGAAATAGTGCATTATCGGAGAATTTATATTTAAAAAAAGTTAAATTATACATACCTGGTTAAGATAAGATTCTGCAACAATCCGAGCTCTAGCGTTTAAGCTGAGTTTCATTTCACTGATTTCTTTATCAACATCTTCCATAAATTGAATGATAAAGTCTACTAGTTTATCTTTATACATGCTTTCGGTTTGGAAATTAGTCACAAGAAAACTAATATCATACCCTTTAACTGGAACTCGGCGCAATATAACAAAGTTTTCAGCACGCATCATTAAAAAGCGCGTAAATTTGTGGCAAAGTATTCTTTCAATGTCATCTGCTTGTTTGATTTTAATAGAAACACGGACAGAATTAATGCTAGATTCTATAAGTACTTGTTCGTTTTCGTTTCTACTGATTATTAATGGATTGAGGATTACCTCTGGGGTTGTATAAGCCTCGATTTCGGGGACGTTGTGCTTTTCGGAAATTTGAGAAGCAAAGTTGTCTAAGCACATGGCTGCCATTAGCGAAGATCTCACAGTATTAAGATAGGGTCTTAGTGTGTTAGACTAAATCAATAAAACAATGAAATGAAAGCATATCATTTTAAAAAGCAAAAAGACCTTATCAATAAAATGTAAAATAACTAGATATTACCATTTTCAGTACTTTTTTTCATGTAAGAAACAAAAAAAAAGTTTGATTTATACTGTTATAAAAATAATTCAAGTAAACAGTATGATTATAGCTTTTAGTAATACAAGGAAAAGACTTGTTATAATGAGAAAGGATATCTCAAAACTAAGGAAACTAAGCGTGAAATATTGCAAAGTTTGGGCAAAACATAGCTGGTTTCTGAGATAAATGAAAAAGCATTATGATTGGGCAGTTAAAAATCATAAACGCGCAGATATTCAATAGAAGAACAAGAATCAAAATTATTGATGAAAGTGGGGTTCGAACCCACGCCTCCGAAGAGATCACGACCTGAACGTGACGCCTTAGACCGCTCGGCCATTTCACCTCTAAAAAAGCAAAAGCTAGAAATATTATAATTTATATAATTAGTTTAGTAAAATTTTACTTGCAGATTGGTAAGTAGTTATAAGTTCATTTAGGGCAAATTCTATTTGTAAAAAGATTTATCAATATCTGATTTTTGTTAGCTTTTAAATATACTCTCTTTATAATATACATTTTACCTTACAAGTTTCAGTATTATAAAAAAATGTTGTAAATATCTTACAAGTCTTGCAATATTTAAAATATTACAAAATAATTAATGAATATATGATAAATAAAATATTTATACAAGCTGTTATAAACGAGTTGTTTTTAGAGCTAATATATTTTATTAAAAAAAAGTACGAGCCTGGTTACAAAACAAAAAATATTCAGATAAATATCAAATATCTAATGTTCTATATATATAAATATTAGCCATTTTATAGAAAAACAATAATAACTCAATAAATTTATGAACTAGTAAATTAAAGG